GGAAACAATCCAAGCATGTTTGAAAAGTTCAAAGAAGCTTTGACAAAGGAGTTCAAAATGACAGATATTGGGCTCATGGCATTCTACCTTGGCATTGAAGTCAAGCAACCGGAAGATGAGATCTTCATCTCTCTAGAAGGTTATGCAAATGAGATATTAAATAAATTCAAGATGGAGAATAGCCAACCTATAAAAACTCCTTTAGAATGTGGAGTCAAGCTATCACAGTTTGACGTTTTCCAAGAGTTTGGTTGGAAGTTTGCACTACTTAACATGCTCTGTCTTCTTGAATGGAATACTTGTATAAAAAGTCTACATTAAGCAGCCACCAGGATATGAAGTCAAAGGTCAAGAAGACAAGATTCTAAAGCTAAAAAAGGCTCTATACAGGCTAAAGCAAGCACCAAGAGCATAGAATACCTGAATAGATAAGTATCTGCAAGAGAAAGGGTTCATGAAGTGTCCTTATGAGCATGCTCTTTACATCAAGAATGAAGATGAAAATGTCTTGATTGTTTGTTTATATGTCGATGACTTGATCTTCACCGGAAACAATCCAAGCGTGTTTGAAAAGTTCAAAGAAGCGATGACAAAGGAGTTCAAAATGACAGATATTGGGCTCATGGCATTCTACCTTGGCATTGAAGTCAAGCAACCGGAAGATGAGATCTTCATCTCTCTAGAAGGTTATGCAAATGAGATATTAAATAAATTCAAGATGGAGAATAGCCAACCTATAAAAACTCCTTTAGAATGTGGAGTCAAGCTATCACAGTTTGACGTTTTCCAAGAGTTTGGTTGGAAGTTTGCACTACTTAACATGCAAAAGACCTGATATTCTTTATGCTGTTGGATTTGTCAGTCGCTACATGGAGACTCCGACTGTTACACACTTGAAGACTGCTAAAAGAATTATGCGCTATATCAAAGGTACAATTGATTTTGGCTTATTTTACTCATCATTCAACAATTTCAAACTTGTAGGATATATCGACAGTGATTGAGCTGGAGACATGGATGATAGAAAGAGCACTACAGGGTTCGTGTTCTTCATAGGAGACATTGCTTTCACTTGGATGTCAAAGAAACAACCAATTGTCACTCTTTCTACTTGCGAAGCAGAGTACGTGGTTGCAACCTCATGTGTTTGTCATGCAATTTGGCTTTGAAACCTATTAAAGAAGTTAAGTTTACCACAATAAGATGCGATTAAGATTTGTATCGATAACAAGTCTACAATCGCGCTAGCAAAGAATCTTGTTTTCCACGATAGAAGCAAGCACATTGATATGCATTATCACTACATCAGAGAATGCATCGAAATAAAGGAGATACAAGTGCAGTACGTGAAGTCTCAAGATCAAGTTGCAGATATTTTTACCAAGTCACTCAAGAGTGAAGACTTTATTAAAATGAGAAGTTTGCTTGGAGTCACAAAATCAAGTTTAAGAGAGGGTGTTGAAATATAAACTTGGTTTTAGTTGTTTAAATAAAGCTTAATTTCTAGAAGCTTATTCTAGAATATGTGGTAAATATGAAATTATTGTGTAGTAGGTGTGGTAGGTGTGAAATTATTGTGTGGTAGGTGTGGAATTATTTATAACCATTGGATTGGAATTGTTGTGGCACAATTCTAGCCATTAATTTAGGAGGTTCCACTAGTATAAATAAGGATGGAGTCTTTGAGTTTGTATCAAGCCAAGTAAAGGTGATAAATAAGAGTGAAGTTTTTTCCATAAGTTGTTTTTAGCCTTTGTTTTAGCCTTTGTCATATCTTAAAAGCTTCTCCATTCCAACAAAAGTAACTGCAGAAGCAACAAACTCTTTGAGGTTTGCACAAAAATGTTTGAATTTAAATGCAGAATGGCATTCAGCTCATCTATTTTTGCATACAATAACTAAATGATGTCATTTTAGTCACCTCATTGATTTACATACCGCAATATATATGTATATATTGCATGTAGACTGATACTGTACAACTGTGATGATGTATAATATGTAAAAAGAAGATTATATTCAAACTCACAGCAAAATAAATGGTACTGCAGATAATGAAAAGTGTGGAACTTGTTCAGCTGAAGAAGATCAAATTGAAGTGAGTTTAGGAGAAACCGTTCTCGAGGGTGAACACCCAGCTGAGGACAGGGAGCTGAAACAACAGCTTCTTAGAAAGTACAGTGGTTGTTTAGGTAGCCTCAGGCAAGAGCTCTCCAAGAAGAAGAAGAAAGGGAAGTTGCCAAAGGAAGCCAGGCAGAAACTCCTCAGCTGGTGGGAGCTGCACAACAAGTGGCCTTATCCATCAGTACTACCTTTCATTTTTTTTAGTAACTTTATACCTAGGTTTCTGTATCATAAAATTAATAAAAGATGATATTTTTGATTTAGCCTATGAGAAAATGTTATTGCTTGACATTGCAGGAGACAGAGAAGGTGGCATTGGCGGAATCGACGGGTCTCGACCAAAAGCAGATCAACAACTGGTTTATAAATCAAAGGAAGAGGCATTGGAAGCCATCAGAAGAGATGCAGTTCATCGTATTGGATGGCTATCATCAGCATGAGCAGCAGAGTGCTACTTCTTTCTATTTGGAGGGACATTTCATGGGGGATGGAAATCTGTATCACATTGGTTCATGACAAATCATCGTTTAAAGCTTCTGAATTTTTCTTTTTTGTGCTATTTATTTCGTTATTATGTGGTTTTAATGATTGTTATTATTGTTTGAAATAAATTAGAATGTTTTATATTCTAAGTAGCAATTGATGAATGAGTGAATTGTAAAATTCTTGAAATAGATGGATGGCATTTTCTTCGTTAAAACTTGAACATGTTTATCGTATTATTTGTAGTTATTATTGCTTCTAATTTTCATAAGCTAGAATGTTATATATGATAAAATGTGAGTTTCAATATTTGAGACGCAATACTAAGGGTTGTTGGATCCAGTGTTTTATATATTAAGTTTACGCTATGACGTTTTAGATGATGTTAGCGATATCCTAAGATGTCACCTAATCTTAAAATGTGAATAATATAAAACATGAAGGCTATTTAAAGATGTCAGCAAACTAAGGTGGTGTTTGGCGGCATCTAAGATTTACGTTAAATAGAATTTTTTAAATCCTTCAAGGCCGGATTTAGCAAATCCAAAATCTCTTGGGTTTAGTGGAGAAATAAATTTGCCTCATATTCAGCTTTATAAAATCTGGATTTACTTTATCAAAAAAAAATGAAATGCAGGAGAATAATAATAGAATGTGGAAAAATAGAAGTTTACGGAGCATTGGATTCATTCCTCTTTTGTTGTTTGATTGGATTTAAGTTTAAGCTGAATCAGATGAATAACATGCCATCAAAAATCGCCCGATGACCCTAAACAACTTGTATTATATTGTAGTGTATGTAAATCAAAACCAAATACAGTTGGGGGGGGTGGGGGTTGTGTTGTATAAAATACTGTATTTTAAATGTTATAGGAGTGAAAAATAGTGCTCTTTAGTAATACTCTAATCCACGACTCTGCGATAGCAAGAATTTTGGCAATGCCAGCTTGTTGGGATAAGGGCATTGCATTTAGAAAACAATATTTAAGCTTTTAACTGAACATAGGGTAAAACTAGAAGTGTAATTTTGCAATTCTACCTTCTACTTCCTAAGTTCGGGAAAAAAAGACTATCGGGTAAAATGTCAAACAATTTATATTTGATTAGTCTCAGAGTTTACAAAAATACCAAATAAGTATTCAGATTTTTTTTAAATTAACACTGAAATAATCTTATGTTAGAATTGTTTTAGTTCACATTAAAAGAGTTTAGAAATTAAATTGAGACTTTTATAAATTTTGGGATTAAAATGATTGGGGAATATTTTGACATTTTTTTCAAAAAAATATATATTATTTGGATTGATTTGATTCAGTACATATCTTTTTATTTGTTTTAAACTGCAGCATATGTGTGTGTGTGTGTGTGTTTATATGTATCTTAAACCAAAATTAGATTATTAGGAAATGAAGGTAACGCATGTTCTAAGGGATTGATGGGTTAATACCTCATCATAGTAACCACATTCTGCAAATTTTCTGCACTTGGAGCATCTCTACAACTGATAAAATCATTTTCAGGAACTTCATCTGTACCTGTGCATCTTTAAAAATGGGGAGTTAATTATAGAATGTCTGACAAGTAAGAGGTCTATGAAGGGTTCAAGGCCAAAATCTATGAATACAAAATACAGATGCTTGAGCCTGCAGGCACTGCGCATCATCAAATTATAAGTCTTTTTACATCCCTCAAATATATAATTATAATATCGAAAATGACTGATAACAATGCCAAAAAAAACTATAATCCCAATAATAATATAAAGTCCTTGGAGACTGCAGCCAACATCATTGCCTGAAGCTCATTCTTCCTGACCTCTCATCTCTTTTTTTTTTTCACTCTTAAATATTGGTGAAAACTTGTAGTCATTATAATTTATCTTTTTTTTTTTCTGAACTTGTATCTTCAAGCTTATTTTGTATTTTATCATTCAAAATTTATTCATATCGTCAAGAAATTTTTTTTTTAATGTCTGCAAGTTAGAATATCCAAAACATGCTAACACGACCTCGAACTAACACAATAGAGATGAATACAGGAGTTCAAAGACAATAAAATGGAGGTGCAGAATCCGAAGTTCGCATCGCACCACACAGAGACAACAGAAAAGGTTTGTAAAAGAATATGATAATAATGATAACACTGCCCGACAGCAAAGGAATAAAGAACAAGGTGAAACCAGTAAATCACTGCGTTGAAACAACTGAGAAAATATATATTTATATGATGATAATCACGTAATTAAATCATACTATACATTTCCTGTATGAACCACTGCAAGCATATATAATTTCAATGTTGCTAAACTGCTAAACTGTACAAACTACAAATTTATATGCAAAACCAGTGGTGATTCTCCCTTATCAACAACAAATGATTGAGTTGATCTTTTCCATGGAGTAGTTACTTCCAGACTATAACTCCCATGATATCCTCTGAACTTAAATTCTCCAAACTCATCAACAAGTCCATCCGTATGGGACAACCACTCCTGTTTCAGAGCAAGATATCTCCTCCCAGCCTCATTAATCTCACCCTCAGCATCAACCAAGTGAGAATTATCCCTACACATCAACTCCCAGAATCCCCACAGCACTATCCCCTCCACCGCCGGATGAGCAAAGGCCTCTCGAAGAACAACCTCCAAATCCTCAGCACGGACATGTTCATTTACAGCACCAACATCAAGTTCGGTAAACCAAATAGGAAGTCCGAGTACGGCTAACTTATCCAACGCAGCACACACAATTTGTCCCACTGGATTGCTAATATGCCCTTGTAGACCAATACCTCCTACAGGAGCGCCACGTTCTTGCAAATCAAGGATGTGATGAATAAACATCTCTGGAGAAGCCTTTGCATCACAACCATCTTCAACATTGTAATCATTAACAAAAAGGGTGGCTGAAGGATCCAGTTTGTGTGCTTCTTTAAACATGTAGGCCCATATACTTTCCCCAAGTCTATCTTTATAGAAGGAGCCATGAAGCATTTCATTGTTCACATCATAATGCCTAAATTTGCCTTTATATCTGGAGAGAAGACTTTCCAGACGATTCTGAACAGATTTCATCAGATTATTTTTGTCTAGAGATTTAATCCAATGCTGAACAGCATCTTCAACCTCCCAAAAAATGCAATGGCCTCTAGTCTCTATTCCATGTCTCTTGCAGAAATCAAGCATTTCATCAGCATCTCTGTAATTGTAGCGTCCTTGTTCGGTTTCTGTATGATACCATTTCAACTCATTCCCGAAAACGGCCCAATTGAAATTTTTTACAAAAAAATCAACGAACTCTTCATTTTCGATGGTTGAACGACTAATACACGATCCGAATGGAAAGCTGTTCTGCAGTTGTCTAATTTTGACAATTGCATTTGATGCATTCCCAATATCAATTCCTTCAAATTTTAAGATGACGTCACGCTTCCTTACCTGAAATGGAAAATAGAATGGTTTACCAAAAGTTAGAATAAGGAATGATAAATCCTGATAATGCACAAAAGGATTATTTGAAGGGGTATCTATGGTTGATCAAAAATTATTTTTGTTCATTGACTATAAAAGTTTTGATGTTTAGACTAAATCTAATTACGGCTATTTAAAAACTAATTGCAAAAATAATGAATCTTGTTACTTTTGTTTTTAGTGAGATTACCAAAATAATGAATCTGGTTACTCCAAATCTGAATATTAATATTCTTTATTGGAGTAAAAGATTCATAATTATAAAAACTATATTAAAGCAGCACCAGTAAGATAAATTATTTTAATAACAAATTTTAAAATTAGGACTTTCAAAAAATTTAATAACTAAGAAAATAAAGGAACATTAACATACATGCCACTCAATTCCTATGCATTTACACATGCAACACTTAAAGATCAATTTTTACATACATGCCACCTTACTTGTGCATTAGAAGGTGTATTTCACTTCTTAAAAGTAAAAATAATGGTATTTTTTTTATGTGCTATGAAAGATTTGAATGGTCTAAATGTCAAAAGAAAAATTTAGGTGTTAGATATGTAAATAGATTGGAATTGGGCTGAATGTAAGTAAATTCCCCAATAATAAATTGTGGTCAAACAAAGAGCCAAAGAGCAAGTGATCTATAATCAGAAAACCTTGTCAGTTTTCTGCTTCAGATTGTCAAAACGAGCCTTCCTGTCAACAGGAAATATGTGAAGCCCAGCAACCATCAAATCTACACCCAATGAAGGACCTTGCATATACACAATAACTTTGGATGGTTGCTTCTCAATTCTGAATGAACCCACAATTTCATGCCATATTTCATCAGTAACTTCAACGTGCCCGCCATTGACCCACTGATCATCCACCCCAAGGGCCAAATTAACAATTTGAGGACTATTCGTCCCTTTTCGGACGCAAACCCACGCAGCAACCTGGTATGTCACATGTAAGAGAATCCTGTCTGAAATTGTTTGGGCGGGACCCATCCAAGTTTCCGTTCTATTAGTTGCAATGATATAACGACCACTAAGTGGCTCGTGATGACCAATTGAGTCTTTCATTGATGGAGGCAGTATGCGGGGAGAACCATTAGATACACTTAGAGTGCATGAACCAAGAGGACACCACTTACTCAGGCCTTCGTTAAGATTGCTGTTCTCAATTATATTGACTCCGAATGGTATATTCTGCAAATAGATAAGCATTTCTGACACATTCAGACAATAATATAAAGATAACTTTATCCTAACAGAATATTTGAATACACAGACACGTGTTAATCAAAGTTTATATGCACACTTCAGATCTGACCAAATGTGTAGGTCTCAAAAACATTTTAGACAGAAGGTAAGAAGGTGGTGAATATCCCTATTAGAAAGATACAAGAGAACATATAATATATCTATATTTTCCAACTTCAGATTTTCCTATATATATCAATTAGCTCCAGCTTGTTACATAGCTTACAAAAGTAAAAATTGCCAAAAAATTTTGGTAAATTTATAAAAATTGTTCAAAACCAAGAGCATGAGTGACAATCTCGTTTGATAGCAATGCATCTCAAATGAAGTGATAATCAACCTCAATATATTTTCTCCATTCATGTAACATTTTAAAATCATGGATGGTGCAATTGGAAAACCAAATTTCCCTGGTATTATATTAGCCAACAACTTCTCGTACAGAGTGGACATGACTCGTTATTCTATCTTAGCACTCGATTTAGCTACAACTACCTATTTTTTTCCTCTTCCATGTGACCAATTTGCCTCCCACAAAGATACAATACCCAAAAGCGAATTTTCTGTCATCAATGGAACTGAAATAATCAGCATCAGAGAAAACTTCCATACTAAGACAGAACAACTTCTGAGTGTATCATGATATATCTAAGAATAAGCAAAACAACTTCCTAATACTTTTTATTTAAAAGTGTTGACTCAACCCCTAAAACAAAGGAGATATATGGTATAATGATAGTAAAATAAATCAATTTTCCAACAGCTAATATGGAAAGACATTTTCAAACTTTTTTCTCTATGATTGTAGTCTTTTATCTGTGAATAAGAGTGTCTGCAATCAAACAAAATAAGTTTATACAAGATGGTCAGTGACATAACTCCACTAAGCTAAGAAAACTACTTTAAAGTTGACAAATTATATTAACAAGAATTTTGAGATTGTCAAGATCCCTAATTCCAAATAAGCTTTTATAATTAGCATTTCACTTCAATAACTACTTTGATCACCTCCAATAAGAACCATTTCATCAACATATGTTGTCAAGATAGCAAAACAAGATCAATTATGTCTGACGAAGAAAGACTCATGACTTAAAATTGTGCACCATGAGGCCTGCTTTGAAGCCCAACTCAACATGGACCGATGATTTAAAATTGCGCAACATGAGGCCTGCTTTGAAGCCAACTTCAACATTTCCTTGAAAAATTCCAATGGGTAACGGACGAGATTTATGTCTCATATGTTGTGGGGCCCACCTTAAGGCGCACCTCGCCTCAATTCAGGTGAAGCATATAAGATTAGATTTAGAGTCTTTCTTAAAATAAATATAAATAAATAACCTTAAAATAAAACTATTTACCCATATAATGCACAATTGAAGATGCATGTTACTATCAACAGTCATTATTTTAAAATCTAATAAATATTCTTATTTATTATTATTGATTAAATGAGAGAGAGATGATTGAGATTCCAGATGAGAATGATGAAAGAGAGAGCATGCATGCAATTGAGAATGAGGTGAGAGAGAATATAAATCATTATGTTGATGTCCTAATGAATGCTCATTGAATGATAAGAGCGTTGGGGATTTTGAATTTAAAAATTCTAACTTCAGTAGCTTGTTATGGTCTACTGTATGGAAGAAAATAGAGATGCAAAATAGATTAATTATACAAACTTATTTTGAATTATTATATTATTATATATTACCTTAACGTTAGTATAACCCATTTTATTTTACAATTTGATATTTGGAAATTAATATGTTATTTCTTTTTTTGAATAATTTATTACTTTTAGCATACTAAGATGTTATATGTTTAATGTATTAATAGCTTAAAATATTGACTTCTTACAATATACTTTGAACTTAACATCACTTTGTCAATATGTGTATGTTGATTTTGAGGCTTACGCCTAGCCACAATGATAAAAAATGCCTCAATACTTAATTGTACAATTTTAGCTTTGAATGGATTAATATTTTGTGCTACTATGAATGCCAAACATACTAAGAACTTTGCAAAACTTATCAAACCGAAAGCCAAGGCTATGATAAACTCCATATATTACCTTGTTTAGTTTGCATATTCAGGTTTCCTGCAAAGCATTATACCATGATAATTCATTATATCCTAACCTTTACTAGGCTCATCATAAAGGAAATCATAACTCACATCCGTTTGTAACAAAGACCACCATTGATTGATGGTGACAAACTAAAAAACTCAAGAGGATTTGAGTTTCGCAACTTGCAAGAATGTGTAGAGATAATTAATCTCATACACCTGATTAAGACATTTGGAAACTAGGCTAGCCTTATATCAATCAATAGAACTATCCGGATAAACTTAATAGCATAAATCTATCAGAAGTGATAACCTGATGACATATATGTATATAAAGTAAGGCAATAATTTTAGCATCCATTGCATATTTCCATTGGACAGCCTATAGTGTATCCTGGTATGTCCTAGGGATAGAAATGGATGAAAAGGACATGACTAAACAGTCGACGTTCAAAGAAAGGTAGTCAAGAGTCATATAAAATTGAATAGGATGTGAGCACATTATCTTATTCCTTTCTTAAGGGCAGTAGGTACATGGAGACCAAAAAACCCTCTAGAAGTGGATGCTCAATCGTTCTAACAATATTATCAAAACTACTATAATAGATAGTGGGAAAGATCATAGTATGTACAAAAGTTGAAATAGAGAGTTGAACCTAGAGGCACTAGGAGGATGAGGAACGAACAGAAGGCTCAGGAGATCTAAGAAAGTAGGGAGAGGACTCTTGAAAGATAACATATGTTGAGATAGAAATGCATCTAGAGGTGGAATCATAACAAAGATTGAATTTTTGGGAACAATAATATCCTAAACAAATGCAAATGATGGTCCAAGGGCATAGGTTGTCACTAGGACGAAAGGAATGGATAGGAGCAAAAAGAAACAAAAATTTTTGTAAGAAGAAAACAGAAAAAACTAATATATATGATGAAGGGGTGACCTTACAATGAACAGTGGTGGGGAATCTATTAATAAGATAGCATGCAGTCAAAATAGAGCCACCCACCCTATAACTGATGTGGAAATTCATATGGAATACATCAAGGATCGAGTTGCGCCAAGCAAATGAAGAAACTTATGTTCAGCAATGCTCTTCTATTGAGATGTATTAAAACATGAATCCTGATTAATGCTTTCGTTATAATTATGAAATGAGCAAAATTGACATTGCATTTATTCTAAAACAGTATCAATATAAAAAATTTAATATAGTCAAAAATCAAATTTTGAATTTTTATTTCTTAACAGATGGAATAAAATATTGACAACCTCAAATCAACAAAAGAGTAAATATGACCAGGGCAAAGACAAAAGCAAATTTCTAAATATATAAATGGGATAACTAAAAAGAGTTCTCAATGTAGAGCAGGAAAAAGAAGCCCATCAGAGTGAATCTAGATGAGTAAACAAATAAGATTTTAGAGGTAATTTAGAGGCTAGGTAGTAGATTCCACTAGTCTCAAAACCTTCATTAATCATCTTCTCCTACTGTGATTTTGAAACACAAAATAAAAAATAAATATAAGTTACAGAGCTATCACAAGTTATAATAAATTTACATGAAATTTAGAAAAATATAATGCAACTAGAAGATCTAAGCTCTTAGATAGATAAAAATTCATTACAAGTCATGAGTGATTGGAAAGCAGTTATCTATCATATGTGCAGAGGCGCCATAGTTTAAAAACTAGGATATGCTAGAAGAAGCAGCACCCACAAAACTAAAAGAAAATGGCTTGAGAGGCAAACATAGAGAGTTGAGAAAAAGAACAAGCATTCAAAATCCTCCTAAAATATAATAATTGATTCAAAGGAAGTGGTAGGAGACGAAGTGCCAACGGTAGTCAGTGAGGAGTTGAGGATAATGTTAAAGAATAGAGAGAAAGTTGAATCTGACTTGGCAACATTATAAGAGAACTTAATGCAATCATAAAGAAAGCAAAGAGAAAAAAGGCTTTTTCTACATGACTACAACTATCATGAATCTAACCACCACAACTATGAACACTATGATATCACATAAAAAGAAAAGACTGATAAGAAACTGTTAGAGAGAGAGAGAGAGGGGCATAGCAACCAAATAAAAAAAATTTTGAGAAAGAGCATTGCTCATGTTAGAAGTTGTGAAGTTTGCCATTATTTGACATTGCATGAGTTGGAGGTAGGGAACAAGTCCTCATAGACAATAAAAAAAATCCTAATTTTATTCTTGTAAATAGTTGAATAAGTAGTAAATGGTTTGCATTATAGAAGTCCATCCAACTTTCCTCACAAGATATTAAAATGTTTTTGATAGGAAAAATCACATTGGTAAAAAAAAAGTAAGGTTCTCAAAATCGGCCCAATTATTGAACAGGAAGAAAGAAGGGTTCAAGGTTTAAAGGTTGAATCGGGAGTTAAACTGAATAATATAATAAATAAATAAATAATTAAACGTTATTTGAATGATGTAATAATGATGCAAATATATAATAAAAGTAAAAATAGTTACTTCACGAAATATAGAATGTTAAAAAATAACTTTTATAATTTTAAATTTAAACATCTTCTGAGTCTAATATCTTTTCAATTTTTATCTTATAATTTTAATTTTGACGGAAGGAAAAGGTAGAAAATTGGGCATGTGATCAAGGGAAAAAATTAGAGAGCAAAATTTTATTACTCTCTTAAGTTTCAATAACTTATTTACTTAAATTATTTGGGTTTAAATTAAATTATAACATTTTAATAAAAAAAATTAGTGATAATTTGATCATAATTATAAGAACCTACCGATTCAATAAGATTGTGACCTATTTGTCAGTTCTATTTGGTTTTAGTTGGAACCATGCAAGGGCAGTTTAATTAGTGCACGGAACCGCCATACAGACCG